CGAACGGATTAACAATTCTTTCGCTACACAATATGCGAGACGTTAACCCATGCCGGGGCGTTTTAAAATTATAATCATCGTTACACAAGCACCTGTATTACGTTTATTTGAAAACGTGTTAAAAAATGTGTTCAGTTTTTTTTTTTTTTAAATATTCACCAATATATAACAAAATATAACACCGTATTATTTTATAGTGAAGCGCATTGTTTATATTGTTCAAAATGTTAAAAACGCCGCTGTGTATTTAAACGAAATGTACAACTTATTCACAATGTCTTACTTTATGGTATTTGATTTAAAATCTTATTGCTTATAAAATACTTTTCCGGATTTCGATTTATGGCTGTAGGATGAGAAAATAGTTTTACCAGCGGGCAATAATATTTTATAGCGGAGCGGATAGTGAAACAGTAAAAACAAGACGATAAGACGACTTTTTCACCGTTTCTCGCGGGCAATCTCTCTCCGAAAACTTGAAAGATTTTAACGATTAGCGCCGCTGGCTTTGTGTTTTGTTGGTGCTCGCTATTAATTGAACAATATTGCGCATAGAAATATGTCGGGAGTTGTAGAATATTAAGATCATGGTTTTTTTTTGTTCGATAATCAAAGTTTCTTAATCGATTTACGGTTGTGACGATTGTGACGCATACGATAATTGTGTACACCCATAAAGTTGACCATAAAATACCATAAAATAGACCTTATTTGCGGGACAAAAAATAGGTACTGATAAACATAAATATTTAGCTATAATACTCGCTGTAAGCTAAGCTTGGGATGGGAGTGATAAGTTATAAATAGAATAATACGATAATCGTATTGATCTTTTTTTTTTACTTTTGTAAATCACGATAAAATTTTCCTTAAATGTTTACTTGACAAAAAAAAAAATTAACTCTAATGGTGTTCATGTGACGGATATTAAAAGTAAAATAATTCTTTAAAACCTTGTATGTTGTCATGTTTAAACCTTTTATGTTTACACTTTTGAATTTTGTCAGTCTTCTTTAAATATAAATAATAATTCTTTAAATATAAATATAATAATAAAAATCGAGAGAGTTATAAATCTACGATATTTTTATGTCAATTCCGATACATTAAATAGGATTCAAAGTGATAAAAAAAAACAGGGATTCTAATCCAAAAGACTCTAATCCATACATCATTCCCAGCGTTCTATATAATCTCATACAATTAGTAAATAATTAATTATAAATAGGTATAAAAGTTATGAGGTTTTTTAGTGAACAATTTCCTCCATAAAATATTCATGTGGTGTAAAAATATTTAAACTTGTAATTTAATTATTGTTTTAATAACATATTGTAAATATATCAAAAAAATAAAATAAAAAATAAATTATAAAAAGTATATATTGTATAAGTATAGATTACTATATAATTTATAATTTATATTTAATATTAGTTAGCTTTGTTTGAAGAACAGTGTTTAACACCCAGTGATATCAACTACATTGCAAAGCTAATTTGTTAACTGTTTTATTGCAAGGGCGTCTTAAAGGAACCACTTAGAATCGACTTTTGTGTAGTTCTTTTTTAAAATTTATCTGTGATTTGAAGTTATGCTTGTGTTTTATTTGATTTTCCACTAAAAAAAAGCCGAAAAAAAGCCCAATTCAGTATTCACAGCCATGCGTAATTTGATTTCGTTATAAAATGATCCACATTAAAAAAATTTGAAATATGTATCCCACATATAATTGATTCCTTAAATACGGATTCAGGGGGGCTGATTGTCTCTTTACCACCCCCCTAAAATACTTCCCTGTCTTATATATATAATTTTTCAGGGGAAAGGGCAAAATCTGTACATTTGATTTTGACGTATTTACATCAAAATGTTTACAATTCTAAAAACATTAAATATGTATTTTAATCAATACGAAATTCAACAACAGTATCAATTATAAATTATAAAGTTTAATACAATTAAGCCATTAGTACCGAATATTAGTTATTGATCATAAATATAGATAGTATATTTTTCTTTATTAAGTACGATTATAACCCAACACGTGGTATGGTGTTAGAAAAACGGTTTCTATAGTAATTACAAAATTTAGTACCGTATTCGGGGGAACGCATGATAGGCGAACGACTATAGCGATGTAATTTAACTTATAACCATAGCTTTCGGAAAATAATAAAAATAAAAAAATAAAAGTCCTGGGGGATGCCTCCCTCAAATGCGCTATTTCATATTCTACCGAACTAAATGTGAATTTCGATACGGAGAAAACGAGTAGCAGTCAAGGACGGACTGGGTTAATAATTTAGGCCAGGAATTTTTTTTGCCAGGCCAAAAATTAACAGAGGACCAACGATTTAGTCATAATTTAGGGCTCGGAACTTAATGCACTTAAAAAGTACTAAATATACATGCCACTTATGCGCTTAAAAAAGTACAAATATGCTCTAAGAATATGCACATATATTTTATTTTTGTACATAAAATTTTCATTTGCACAAATATTTTATAAAATTATAAATATAGAAAAAGCAAAGTAGTAAAAATAATTATATTTTTTAATTTTTAATCATAATTTAAAATAATAATAATAAAATAGCATTGAAAATATTTCTTGAATAAAAAAAAAGCACTTGTAGAATGTTCTATAATCATTGAGTTATTTTCCTGGAAAAGTATTTATAGAAAATCATCGAATTTCGATAGCAGTTGTTCCTATTTGATATTTGTATAATACTTCATTTTAGATAAAGCTAGCTGTAGTTATAATTTATAAATATATATATGAATATATATTATATTAACCAATAGGGGAAAAACATTGTTTTTAATGTCAAATGGAAATTTGAAATATACGATACAAGAATATCAAGAAAGTTCTCTCAATATGAAGGTATTTATTTTTAATTTTTCGAATTTTCATACTGAATCTTCAAAAAATCTTTTAAAATCTAAAAATCATTAAGTATGCAAAAATATGCACTAAAAACTTTTGATATGTTTTTCGTAGTGTCTTGGAATACATTTCTAACTCACTTAGTAATAAATCCAAAGGTGCAAAAAAAAATATGCAAATGCAACAACTTCCGAGTCCTATTCATAAGTATGTAAAAAGAAAATAATAATGATAAAAACTTTTATTATTTCAAAAATATTTTCAATATTTTATGTAGATATATAAAATTATACATAATATATAAGACATTTGTTTTATAGATACAGTGTACATATTTTAATATAATACCTATATATTAAAATCAAAAGCAATTCTTTTTTTACATAATTAGGTTTTTTTTCATAACTTCACTAGGTTCCCCAATTCTGTCGATTAAAATATCGTAATACTATATTTTTAATTTCTAAAATAATATCAGGCCATTTAATCTATTATTGTAACGGGCCACCGGGCAAATCCCGCCAGGCCAGTCCGCCCCTGGTAGCAGACGTCATCGTCTTGTACAAGGACACTACCCCGTGTGTGTTGACCCAACAATGTAGCGATGTATTTCAATCATAAAACACTACACCAGATACCTCGGCTAACCTGCTGACAATTACCCACTAAAACTATTACTCGAACTAAACCTAATAATAATACATCGGCTGGCGAATTATCATAACTGTATTATATCCAGTGATTTCAGTGTAGTTGACCGGGGGGGGGGGGGGGGGGGGGGGGAGTGAAAAAGACATCGGTGTGGGCTTATAAAAATTCCACACCAAATTTCTCGCTGAGTTGTGGTAAACGTTGAATCGTTTCGATATAATTATCTATGCTGTACAAATCATTTTCGAGACGTTTCACCTACGAATGCAAGGCATACGGTACAGAGTGATTTCTCGGTCGTAGTCAAGGACGATAATTTTCCAATTATTGTGTTATGATTGTTTTTTTTTTTTTTAATTTTTTTTTCCTAAATCCAAATCGCGTTCTACGATATCCTTCTCGCAACCCGAAATAATCGAATCCTCTTCGCGACAGGTTGTTTCGGCCGGACAGTGTGGACGTTTCACGTTTGTACATGATCCGTATACATTCTGCTATCCATCATTCTCGAGATCTCCGAGTGTAATCATCGACGCTACCATAACATTAATACGGCAAAGTACACTTAAATGATTCCATAAGTCATTGTAAACTTTTCACCTTAACGTCTGGTTTTTCACTGCTAAACCAGTCGTACATCACATAGTCTACAGTTAGTTGATACATAACAATATACATCTATTATGGTAATAATGAAATAAAATATACCTAAACACATAAAATGCACACTTAAAATGTAATATGAAAACAATTAATTTCATTAGATATTGTTATAGAAAAAATGGTGTGTGAAAAAACTTAATTATTTATAGCTGTCATTGTTATTTTCTCTTTTTCGCCATATAACAGACTGTGGCGCGTTTACTCTGGGTGTACAAGTTGTGTGTTAACGCCTTTCATTACTTATGTATAATGTGTATTTAATTATTACATAGTTTTATTAAAAAAATCTGTAAATAACTAAGTACTCTGGTCTAAAAATAAAAATAATAAATAAACAAATTTTAGCTCAACATTAGCCGTTCGCCGACTGCCGGCTGTTAACAAGTACGGTTATTAACAATAATATTTTTACCAATAACATTGTCAGTCAGAGTCGATCTAAAAAAAAATTAACCCTCTTTAAAAAAAAAAAGTGAAAATAAAAATATTATAATCATCATCGAATTCATATTTAACTTTTTAAAAATTAAAAAATATGTAATATATATATATATATAAATAATTGAATTTGTGTTGTTTTAATAGGAATGATTTAAGATTTTACTCATGTACGTTTCTGATTAGATTTCAATCACATTATTCTAAGTGAATAAGTATCATAGATGTCAGAATTTACATATAAATCCGTTTCTGAGTAATAAAATACATTTCGTTGCGGGCGCGCGTGTTTATATGTGTGTGTATGTATTCATAGAGAATGTTAATTTTATTTTTTTTCACTTGCTTTGCGCAGAAAAAAATTCACAATAACACACGAATCGTCCAACGATAAACAGTGGAATTATACGGTCGAGTATGAAGAGCACTTATCGCAGCTTCCGTTCGTGACCAACAAGATTGTTGGCAATTTCGTAGTGGAAGAATCGCGATCTCGTCGCACAATCAAATCGACCCACTGGACGTGTTTCTCTAGGATTTATTGTCGTGAGTACATAAACGCGCCATCAACGTGTGCAATTTTGTATATTATTATTATTAATGCAGAACTAATGACCTTAGTTTAATCCAATAAAATAAATAGTACAAGAATCGAGTCACGGTCATGGGACACTTTGTACAATTAAATATCATCCCTTCGAATATTTCAAATACATTTATATGTCTAAAACACATTTTGTAAAAATTATGTTATTAACAATAATAAAAAATAAATAAATCAACCCGAGAGTGAAAAATACCAACAGAAATGTTTTCAAAATAAATTATCTAAAAAAGCAAAATAAAATGTTAGTTGTTTTATTGTACGCAGTATAAATTAAATTTATAGCTAAAACAGCTTCGTTTTAGACAATTAGGAAAAAAACCTACAAAATCTAAACTCTAATTAAATTATCAATATGTATATATCATCATATTCACTTGATAAAGTAAAACAATAATGTATACAATTTTAACACATATTAGTTATACAAGCATGTTATTTATTATAAATTGATCTAGGACGAAATATCTATGAAAAAATGTTTCTGGTTAAACATTCATGTGAAAAAAAACATCCGTTTAATGACGTTATAAGTGTAATTTAACACAATTTCAAAAAAATATAGAAAACGTCATAAAAATATTACATTGTTGTTACATGTGTTACATATGTTAGTATGACATAAAGTAGTATAAAAATATAAAATCAATACGATTAATTGGCGAATAGAAAAGGGTTTGCATTGAAAATATATCATGGTTCTATGAAAATATTCGTTGTACTGAAAGTTTCGTTGAACAAAAGTTAGTTAGCTAAGACTTTCAACTGGGCGTGTAAGAGACACTGAGCGTGTAGACTGTCAACCGGCCAACAGAATATATTCAGATTGCGGGAATAATTTTAATACCGTGACCATAAGATGTTTTCGAAGCTAGTGGAGTCACACGATTTATCGGTTAACAGTTTGCGTTTCGATAAGAAATACGTACTGGATTGATTTGATTTTACGTGAACGATGTATTCGTGTTTCGTCGAATTCGTGATATTGCCATGTTTACGTATTAGTCGATGGTAAGAACATATAACTGCGGATCCCATTAAATGCATAACAAAAGTCTGTCTAATTCATGAGATCGGCAGTTAAATGTTATTTTATTTATGAAATCGATATTGCCGAATTCGTATATTAACGACATTACATGTACATCATTTGTTGACCCCTGTTAACGTGCAAAGAACGTATAAACAAGAATACGTCAACGCGGATCGATCATTATTAATTATGAGAAGCAATTTATTTATTGCTGAAACTCCGTTTTTAATATCGCCCCACCTGCAGCCACTCGTTATTTTTTTCATAAATTTATAATATTATTCATTATTCATATGCATATGTGTGTGTGTATGTATGTTATGTGTGTGTATAGTTTATATAATTGTATCTATGATGCACTTCAGATATTTAACTTTATATGCGTATTTCTCGTTCCCAAGGGTACTTATAATTCAAAATAATAAATATTTCGAAAAAAAGCTACGAATTTCTCTCGAAAACACTATTCTCTGTCGCGTATGCATAGGAATTATGTTCGAATTTTACTTTACACCCTTATTAATGATTACAGTAAAACGTCAATATTCTATTACACATCTAAGCACAAAAAATCATAACATTTGTTTTTCATTTCAGTTTTCTTACAAAAATATAAATCTTATTCGCCTAAAACAATATGTAACACACTTATTGATATTTAAAAATTTTATTTTTTATATTTTTGTCCTAGTTTAACTTTAAAAAATGTATGTACAGAATTGCAGCTTCACCTGAGTCGACTAAACTTAGTCTTTCCTCTGTGATAATTTTTTTATTCTCATTATGTTGCAGTGAACACTAAATCGGAAATGCAATTCCTAGATCTATCAAAGGGTTCCAGAGTGGTGGAGATAATCAAGTACGAGTGTCCATGGTTGTTGACCAAATTCTGCACGAACGAAGTCATGTACCAAAGGAAAGAGATATTTGGTCGGCTCTGGACCGTGTTCGCGCATACAAAACATTAGTTATATTTTTCGATGTTTTTATTATTATCAACAGTACAGTTTATATTATTTTTTAAATTGTATTTTATTTTTATTCTTATCTTGTCGTTAGTCGTAAGAAGACGACTACACAGTTTGTTTCCTACTCCTGTTTAATTAATAGCTCCCGACAAATAACGATTTGCTCAGAATAAGAACACAAAAGACCAACATTTAAATTGTTAATTCCTATTTTTTGACTTTTTATTTTATTTAATACAAGGGATTAATTTTCTCTGGGCCATGTCGAGGGGAAAACCCGAATAATAATATTAACGCATTCTTTTACTGTAGTTGAACCACCCACGTTTTCCTTTCGCTTCGGTTAAAGAGTATAAATAAAATAAAATATTGTGTTCTGGTGGTTAGCTGAATACAAATGAAAGGTCTCGATTTACATTAACGTTTTTCTTACGGGTTCCGAAAAATACCTCTCTAACATAAACAATCTTTTTTTTTTAGTTTATTTTAATTTTTCCAGTCTTATATTTCGAAACATCGGTGTACACACGTTTTTCAAACAATATTGTTTCGCCCAAGCTCGGGTCTCGTTGACCGATTGTTTATGAGAACCGTGCATGTCCAGCGGCCAACATAAAACTGAGAGAGACGATTTTTTTTTTTTTATTAGTTTTTCTTCATTCACCACCGCCGTGAACAGTACAGTTTACGCGAAATATTTCGTTTCGAATTCATTTACTTAACGCGTAAACGCGTGTTCTATTGTATTGTGTTTTAAAATTTTTTTAAAAACATGAGAATATTGAACACCTGTCCGTAATTTATCAATACGTAACCTCTACTTTAATTTGGGCACGCGTGTAAACGTCAAATCGAATATAATTTTCCGACGTTTGTGTTTGTGTAGGGAAAAAGTGGGTCACCGATATTATTGAAATACATTATATAAGGTCGTTCGGGAAATGCCTGCCACCTACCATGTGAAAACACATGTCTTTCTCGCTGCTGTTTTAACTGAAAACCAAAATAAAAATAAAAAAAAACTCCTATAATAGAAATTATCCGTTTCACCGTGATAATAACCGTATAAGCGAAAATAATATATGTTTTATCTGTACACACACACACTCATACACGTGTGTGCGTGCGTGTAATGCGATATAATGATCTTCATTATCGAATAAAAATGTTTGTTTGAGTGTTTGATTTGTAAATTATGTTTAACAGTTCTACGGATTGTTATTATAGCCCATTTATTCGCTACATAATGCACTATTTTTCAATAATTTTAATCGGTATAACGTCCATAGACGTAATTACAGTTCAGATTCTGCGGAGCTACAGCTTTCCCACCAAAACCCCACTCCTCCTTATATACCATCAGTGGCGTACGTAGATGGTGGAGGGACGAGGGCTAACAGGCTAATTCTCGTACACGTATCGCATGTTGTCTGTACGATCGCAGACGGTAAATCGATTCAAATCGCAACGTGTGCTGCAAGAGAAGCGGTCATCGGCGGTGCAGGATTTTCAGCCGTCGAAACATCAACCATCCGGACACGTGTACGCGGCACGATGTGGTATGTACGTGCAAACCGCAAATATCGTTTTCTGCTGTCGTACGTGGTCGCTGTTCGTACCGCGAATTTGTGTTACTCGTACTCGATGCGGCAAATCGGTGGCGAAGGGGATGTTGGCTGCAGACGCGTACGATTATCCGATGGATCGTTTATAATGGTCGCACTGCAATATTATGGCGCTCAGCCCTTCGAAACCGACTCGTTTGCGTAAAATCACTGTCGACAATCACTTATTTTTCGATGTGCACGAAAAGTACACCGGTCTAGAAACGAGGTCACGCTATTAATATCACTAAAGTAGGATTTTGTTAAGAATTAGTAAATTGTCTTATTCGAAATACAATGCGGGTTTCCTGTGATCAAAGGCATTTAATTATTTTTCTAATATTAAAATCTATAGTTCGATTATTAGTTAGACCAAATCTAATCGTTATCGCAAAAACAATAGAATATTATTATTATTCATACTCGTAACGCACGCGACGGAATTATACACTCGTTATACCAGTGGCGTATTTATGGGGGAGGGGTCTTGGGGGTTTCCACCCTCCCCCTAAAAAAAAAAAAAAATTTGAAAACGTCAAATTTTAAACATATCAGTAATATAATAATTTAAGATTGTTAATTCAATAAAGTATTAAAGTATAATGAAATATATATATATATCAAATAATTAAATTGTAATCGAGTAATAATAATAAAAATCGACCGCACGGCACTTACAAACACATGGTATATAAATAATCTGATGTGAGGAAATTATTGGTCGATATGTCGATGTCTTTGCCATGCTATTGATTCATCGACATTTAGACTTTCAAACCGATGAAGTTATTGATGATTTGACAAATAAAAAACGAAAACTAGAATTTATAATATAATTTGTAATTTTGTTATAGTAGTTTTTCAATAGTTTGATTTCAATAAATTAATAAAACACTTAATAATAAGTTGATAAAAAGCATTTTATACTAATTTATAAAATTATTTCACTATTAGATATGACACCCCCCCTCGAAAAAAAAAGTTTATTAATACGCCACTGCGTTATATACACGGTTTGCATTGAACATCTGAGATTTTAAAACACCCAAAAAATAATCATTGCAGATCGTCGTATCATCGTTTCCGCGCAAAAATTAAGCAGTATTAATGTTTCTCGGTTATTTTATCGTTTTTCGAAAAAAATCAAGCAAGTCAAAGTTATAATTAGTTATATTTTTTTTTATAAAAAAAGAAGGTTGTACTTTTATGAATTTATATGTAATATTTATGCATATATATTTTTTTTTAAACGGTACCAACGTTTTATATTTCATATATGTTACTACCTGAAACGAAATATTTCTCAAAAAAGTTATTAACATATTATAATTATACACTTATATATCCTTAGATAGAACGTCCATGTATATTAACACAATCAAAGGGTGGACTTTGGGAGCTTAGGTCCTTCAAAAATGTCAATAGCAGCCTCCTTTTATAAAAAATATTATTTTATTTTTCTTATTTTCATTGATTTATATATTATGTTACGATATAATATATATTTATAAGTATATTGCGAATATTCGATAAAAAAACTCTTAAAACCGACTTCAACTACACCGCATTAAATATTACGAAGTAAGTATATGCGTGGGACTATAATAACGATATTATGAAACGTAATGAAAACAAGAATCAGAACGTTTGAACAATATTGTAGACGAAAATGAAAAATTATTTTATACCGAGCCGCACGGAGCCTAGGGCCACCCCCGTAAACACACTTGCACGCGTAAAGAAAATGTCCGGCGGTAGTCATAACGTATACGATAGTGAATGAATAATGAATCGGTTGCAAACGGAATTAATTATAACCTAGGGAAATTCAAACCCACCCGTCACGCTAACACACACGTTAGCACATACGTTGTTATACATAAATTGTGTACCTGATGGGTGTATTATGTGTAGGTTTACATTCTTATAGAAGTTCCTACGACATCGATGATCTATCGCGGCGTGGTGAGCTTTTCGCTCTACATTATCTTTCTTTCTTTTCTTTGTCTATCTCCCTTCCACATCCTAACCTAACGTAACTTTTCCTAACATTTTCTCTACCATTTTTTCCTCTCTATATTTCTTTGTTTCTATCTTTTTTTCCCTGTATACTTCTCTGTCTTCTATCATTCACCCTTGTCTCTCTCTCTCTCACTCTCACTATGTATCATTTTCCTGTTGTTATGATAATATCGAACAAAAACGTTTTATTCAGCAGGGTACCACCAACAACTGAACGGGTCATCAGATTTGCTTGCGCTCCGATCGAATCAGTGTTCGACGGAGATGGTTGAGCTTGACATTACAATATTACTTACGCGTGTATAATAATAATAATAATAAATTGATATAAACGAGGTGCCATCAATCAGGCATCGTCACACGAAAAGTGAACGTTCGTCGTAAGATTCGTAACCGTCACTCATCTAAATCTTTCTATACCTATTGACTTCTACTAAGTACTCTACTACTAATACTACTATGCAGTTATCAATAACACTATAGATTGTTTGGTGGACTTATACGGTGCGCTGTAGAAAGTGAAAACATCATAACTTAAGATGATCCTGTTTAAAAAACGAATATAAAAACGGGGCGTTTATTAAAGTTTCTTTTTTATAGAGAAAAATTTAAATTCCAAGCCATAAAATGTAAAGTAAAACGAATTTTACTGCGTTACTTCGAAACAGCAATCTTTAATTTTTACCTGAAGACTGGTTTTATTTTTATTTTTATTTTATTACTTGTACAATGAAAAGGGTTTCTAAAAATTCTTAATAAATCGACTTTGTTTTTGTTTCTACAAACATAAGGAACCCAGAATTGAACGAGATCCTTTTCAAATATGTTTCATTCGATTTTTCCTAAAAAAACAGTGTATTATATCAAGTTAAAATAGCACATTGGCTTTTTATCACAAGGTAACGGAATAGAATGAGTGATAATATAATAGTAACACAGAAAGAATCTCATTTTTATATTTTCTCCTCGTATTTTAATCCGAAGTGTATCGAACAAAGGATCAGTTTTTTAATAAAGCTATTTGATTTTTTTTTTACAAATATTTTAAGATATTTTTTTAGAAATTTTTCAGATATTATTCTTGTATCAAGTGCAGTAGAATGACTGTACACCTATGCATACATAAACAAAAATACCTTTATCGATGGACTAAAAACATCAACTAGTTTGTACTTTAGAAAGGTTGATTTTCGAACGGGGTTTCAAAAATATCTTTAAAATAAACCACCCACGAATTTTTAACTTAATCGACTTTGTGTATTCTACTGATTTACTGGTTTAGTTTTTACATTGAACTCAATTGTCGAACGTGTAATATTTAAATTTCTCCTCGGCAAATAAGCCGAATTTTTATTCAACATTATAATGATCGGGTTTTATTTTTATTTTTTATGTAAACGAAATTACTGTAGGTAGTTTTTATTTTATTTT